TGTGATTGGCTGTTCGCTACTGATGTTACACTCAGGATCAAAGCCTGTGTTGACAGAATACCAAATGTGCCAGTAATGTATTTCAAGCAGCACATTCATTTATAATTTTGAATAAACTCCAAAGCACAATGACTAAGTGTGTATTTTTTTATTTGAATTGTTTGTCAGCTCGCACATCTGTCTGTCACCATGCCTTGATGAGTATTGATAAATGATAATACTCCCAATCAACGACTGCGGAGGGTAAAGGTAGGCTAGTGTTATTTCACCCTTTTTAATTTCGTTGAGGTTGTGTTCCCACATCGTTAGCTAGTTTGGATCGCTATAACATGAATGACTGTCAGCTGTTGAATGAACGAGTGTTAAGCATGTCAAGTTTACTTCCAACCGGAAGTCGCGCCCACTTTTGCCGCAAGGCCTCATGGGGCGTAGGAAACTTGTGGATAGAAATAGGTTGAGAGAGAGAGAGAGAGAGAGAGAGAGAGAGAGAGAGGTCATGTCTTGACTTTAAAAATTCTGTTAAAAATCCCAGCCGTAAATTCTTTTGGCAGGCTCATCCATTCATCACAATAGAGATGTAATGTCAGCTGGAGAGGAGTGCATGAAAATTGCTAAAAGTTGTGCAAACTGAAACGTGTGCAGTGTGCTACACATAGTAGGCCTAAATAAATAGTAGTATGTTAGTATGCTGTTTCAAACACAGTTATCAATTATAATAAATTTCTTGACTGAAAGACTGGGTTCCAAATCTATTTAAACTTTCGTGCAGCCTTCAACATCATGATATAAAACAGCCTTTATCCTTACCTTTTGCTGAGGGCACATGACTGGAACACGTTGTCGAGCAGCAGAAGACAAACACCCTATAACAAGACAACAACCTGACAATGGCTGCTATAAATAGGCACAAATTCAAATCAATAAAACGAGAGAACATCATAGCTCATAAAGCAGGTGCTTGAGTGGATTTATGCGTCCGCTAATGCATCCTGGCTGGTGTGTGTTCCCTAAAACAACCTAATGATAATTTAGATTTTGGCTAATCCACCACAAGACGTTATTTCTGTAGACAGGTCTAAATTATTCTTTCTAAGCACTTCAGTTCAATGTGCTCTGGCGATCAATCGATTTGTTTCTATTCATGGTGTTGCGTGCTGCTGCAATATTTGTGTTATTAGCCACGGGGGGAGGAACACTGGAGCTCGGTCGATGAGCTTCTCTGACTGACTGAAGGTCCACGCGGGATTTTTCTTTATTGGAAACACGTACAATAGGAACAACAAAGGATTTTTTTTTAAAACAAAACGCTTCATATAACACACTAAGGTCATTCTGACTGTGACAGAAACAGAAAATACCATAATCCACTATCAATTAAAGGCTCGTACCCTACGGTCATGTTGATTTGTTTAGTTTTTCTTCTCCTTCGATTTCAGTAAAGTGGGACCACGGGACCATAAGGATACAACACAAGACTTAAGATCAATATGGAAACTGTATTCCTTAACGAAGCCCTCAAATTGTTAACATTTCATTAGTTGTGTAGTCATTAAAATACATTTTTCTACTATTGAGGTCTTTGTTTCACTGTCTATGAAGTTGTTTTCCAAAAAGAAAAGTTCAACCACATCAAGACAATTCACGCTTTCTGACATATCATGTGATTTTCACAATGTTTTCTGCAATTACCTGTTTTCCACTGTCCTTCAACCCCAAAACATTTTGAAATTTCTAGGTTGTTGTGGCCTGAGGTAAAATATCTATCCATCCATCCATCCTTTTCAGCACTATCTATCTATCTATCTATCTATCTATCTATCTATCTATCTATCTATCTATCTATCTATCTATCTATCTATCTATCTATCTATCTATCTATCTATCTATCTATCCTTTCCAGCACTATATCTATCCATCCATCATCCTTTTCAGCACAATCTATTTAATCCATCCATCCTTTTCAGCACTATCTATCTTTCTATCATTTCCAGCACTAAATATCTGTCTATCCATCCATATGATGTGCCTCTAACTGTTTTAGGTCAAAATATGATACTGATCATTAAAATGATTATTCATGCAGAAACAAAATATGACTATATAAAACGTATAACTTTATACAAACTCTACATACAATTTCCATGCAAACAAATTGTAAAACATTTACAGTACAATTTCAGATTTACATATCATAAAAAAATGTATACTTGATTAAAAAACAACAAAAGAAACAATTAAACATCTTGCTGGATTTCAAATTTATGACACTGACATCTGCAAGCAAAACAGTGAACATCTTGTCTACTCAGTTTCCTTTATCATTTAAAAAAAGGTGTAATATGGATTAACTAGAAAACGCATAATTCCATGTCCTCACCTCATATTTATTCAAAACAACCATCAGCAACAACCATCACTTATATACCAGCTACACTCTTTTGTTTTCCAACATTCGCAGGTAGGACACACCAATTTGTTCTTCAGATACTCGCACACATCTTCACATAGGCTACTTATTGTCAGAAGCTTCCCTCAGTACAGCTATCATTAGTTAAAAGTTGTCATGTATTTTTCACGTTCAGCCACTCTTTAGAGACACAAAAGACAAAACTAGATTCAGCGAGGCTTGAGGTAATAAACCCATCTTGCTTGCAATTGCACACAGACTGGTTGTGAATCCACATAAATATATATGAAATGAAATGATATGAAAAATAGCAATAAATAAATTTGGAAAAGCTTGTAATACATTAAGGATGATGTAGACTGAATTTCAAACTACATTGAAAATCTAAAGCCTTGGAGCCAAATTTATGTTAATCTACGGCGTTATTCCGTCCTCCTGAGGCGAACAGGCTTTTAAAAATGGAACGAGGTATTTTCAATTCCAGCAACAATGCATAATGAAACATCAATGAAAACATAAAGCAGATTTTAGTAACTGTAGATTCAAATAACAGATATTGAACCATCAAATGAAGTGCAGTTATAGCATTTTCCTTCTCAAAATGGCCATTTTCACAGTCTCTTACCTCAAAAAAGGAGTAAATGACACCTGACAGAAGCCATGAATAAGTCTCGGGATGTAATCGGTGGCCCAGATGTTCATAACACCTCCTGTCCTCACTGACTTGAGTGTGTGAACTACTTCAGCAACTGCATTTTTGGACATGGAGTTGTTTAAGATTTCCATTTCAAACAAATGCTGTTCTTTTTAAGCATCCTGTATCAAACATTTACATCACATATACATCTCATTAATAAGAAATTTCTTGATCAGCAAATTAGAATGATTTCTGAAGGCTCATGTGACACTGAAGACTGGAGTAATGATGCTGACAAGTCAGCTTTTCCATCGCAGGAATACATTTTAAAACATTAAACCAGAAAATAGTTATTTTAAATTGTAACATTATTAGCAATATCACTGTTTTTACTGCATTTGTCAACCCCAAATATTTGAATAGGACTGTATGTGAACAAAATTAGTGTAGAGTAGCCAATACAGCAGAGTTCCTGTGACCGGTAGAGTATGTGTCTCGAAATGCCAATGTCATGAGCTCAATTCCCAGGGAGCAAAGTGATAAAATATACAGCCTGAATGCAAGTCACTGTGGATAAAAGCAAGCCAGATGAAGAACTGTCAGATGAAATTCAAGTTAAGAGAAAAATTATGTACACCAGTCAGAAGCAGGAAACCGCAACAGAAAATCATTCCTCTTTTGACGTCGACTCCACTGCAGAAGAATCAATGCCACTCTCAGTACAACTACGGTTAAAGGATATCAGTAACGTTTATTGTACATTCACGCTGGACACTAGCAAACAAATCCTTCCAATGGCAACCTGTGAATCACACATTTAAAGGGTTAGTTCACCCAAAAATGAAAATTAAGTCATTAATTACTCACCCCCATGCTGTACCAACCCCGTAAGACCTTTGTTCATCTTCGGAACACAAATAAAGATATTTTTGATTGAATCTGAGAGCTAGATCAGTCCTACATAGAAAGCTTAAGGGACTGGCTCTTGACGGCCCATAAAGTCATTAAAGAAAAGGTTTAAATATTCCATGTGCCTACAGCGGCTCAATTATAAGTTTATCAAGCGACGAGACTACTTTTTGTGCGAAAAAAACATAAATAACGACTTAATTCCAATATTCCATTACTTCCTTATGGGCGCATGCACGAGAACTGAGACGAGGACGTTCTCCTTCGACTTGTTACCGGCTGCTCACCGTTTAGGAGTTTTACCGCCCCCTACCGTATAAGATGATGTGCTGATATAGCTGGAAGCGCAAAACTTTCTGTTTACAAGCAGAGGAAGATGCGCGCTGTACATACGCTTTTCAATTTGCGTATTTTCCGCACTATAAGGTGCACTTAAAAGCCTTTAATCTTCTCAAAAAACGACAGTGTTCCTTATAATCCGGAGCGCCAAATATATGGATCATCATTTTATACGGTAGGTGGCGGTAAAACTCCTAAACGGTGAGCAGCCGGTAACAAGAAGTAGACGAATGAGAACGTCCTAGTCTCAGTTCTCGCGCATGCGCCCATAAGGAAGTAATGGAATAGTGGAATAAAGTCGTTATTTATGTTTTTTTCGCACAAAAAGTAGTCTCGTCGCTTGATAAACTTATAATTGAGCCGTTGTAGGCACATGGAATATTTAAACCCTTTTCTTTAATGACCTTATGGGCCGTCAAGAGCCAGTCCCTTAGGCAGTCTATATAGGACTGATCTAGCTCTCAGATTCAATCAAAAATATCTTTATTTGTGTTCCGAAGATAAACGAAGGTCTTACGGGGTTGGTACAGCATGGGGGTGAGTAATTAATGACTTAATTTTGATTTTTGGGTGAACTAACCCTTTAAGACTTCTTCATAGGGGCCTTGCTTGATGAAAAGCCTATGGCATTTTATGAACGAAAAATTACGGACCTCATGAAACCACATTTCTGATCCACAGAGATCTTGACTGAGAAAAACAACAGACTTTTGAATGAAAAAATATTTACTGCTTAAAGTAAAATCAAATAAAAACAATTAGAGCCACAAGCCATTACAAACAACAAGAGCTTTCGGGGGTTGACAATGTAGAGCAATCAATTTACGCACTTGAAATGACAAACTTCGGGGTTTGATGCTAATTGGCGTCATTTGTGGCATGCTCGCGCACATTCAAACAACACAATTACAGAACCGTTTACAGCGCGCTTGGAAAGCCTTCATGGAGTTGCCATATGACAGATTAAGCATGCAGAAGATTTGCCGAATAGAAAACCCTCGCACGTTTTCACGGTCTGAAAGCAGCTGAGCAACTAGAAGTGTATTTAATCGTGTAGTTCACCAACAGTACATTATTCAAGGGCTCAAAAGTCGCACTATGAGAGACGGATGACAGTATGCAAATTCTGTAGAGTTCAGTGCACTGACACAGACTGTCGTCATTCGACTGTGTCCAGAGATACGGCCAAGGAAAAAGAGTACATTTACACCATATAGCAACGTTTCTTTAATGTTCTTTGTGAACGGCTTGCTGGTGGGCGTAACGTAGGGCAGCGCTCGTGTACTTTTCTGCGTGTAGTTGCTCACGGAGACTCACACATACACAAACATACAAGCATAATCTCACACACACAAGGAGGGCTTGGCGGAGAGGAGCAGAGATGATCCAGACGGAGAAGAGCAGCAGAGGCGTGTTGCTGGCGCAGAGGCTCCAGAGCTTCTACTGTAAACATGAAGAGAGGGATGGATGAACCCCCTTCATCCCCTCTCGCTCGTTCAGTTCCTTCTCTGCGGACCCAGTCCCAGTTCGGCTCTCTGCGGACCGTTCCTCACTTGCCCAGCCGCTGCTCACACACCGCATAGCACTGCAGAGCGCCGAATAGGTCGTCGTAAGAGGCGTCTATGTGGGACGGCATTGAGCTACAGGTGGAGAGGAGAGAAAAATGGAGAGAGAATAAATCCTTCAGCGACACAGTCAAATAAATAAATGGCTTCAATAAAAAAAAAGGTTTAATATTTTTTATGTTTGGAAAAATTTATTTATCTATGAATCTTATGTGTACACTACCATAAGTTTGGGTTCTGTAAGTTTTTTTTAAAGTGGTTCTGCAAGAAATCATATCAAAAATACAATAAAAATGTAATATAGTAAATAGTTAAATATTTTGTCTATTGTTTAATATACGTTTTAAAATGTAATTTGCTCCTGTGATATCAAAGCTGAATTTTCAGCATCATTACTCCAGTCTTCAGTGTCACATGATCCTTCAGAAATCATTCTAATATGCTGATATTCTGCTCAAGAAACATTTATTATTACATTTATTATTATGATCAATGTTGAAAACATCAAAGAGCATTTATTTGAATAAAATGTAAAACAATTTTATAACGTACATTTCTATGCTTGCTGAATAAAAGTACTAATTTCTTAAAAATATGATTGTTTGTATATGCAATTAAATTACACAATTTCAGTTATTTCCAAATGCACACATTTAATTTTAGTGGAAAGAACATGATCAGATGTGGTGTGACTATATCCATTTCCTCAGGGTAACTGAGCAGATTATCAAAATCAAGCTAATTATAAACCTGAAATGTAGATGCATAATTGTAAATCAATTTCTTATAAACACTTCATTTTTTGTGTGCAACAGCTGACAGATTAAAAGTCTACAGATGTGTTATCAGGCATCAAACAAACACAGTCCAAGACTGAATCCGTCATGACACACGGAAAGGAAACTAAACAGATCAAGTTTGCTAATAATGCAGCAAAAAAAGAGCAGTGAAACACTGCCCTCTAGTGAAACAAAAATAACAGTGTTGAATAATGCAAATTCCCCATTATTTTCGTTTGCTTGATTCAGTATCTTTTTTAATATAATATGTCTTTATTAAATTATAATGCATTATTGCATGTATTATGTCAATGTAAGTACACAGACCTAGTGAAATTAAATGGAAGACTTATTTTTTAACATTCTCTGAAATTAACTCTAGTTAAAGAAGACATTAGTTATGTGGCAAAAACTCCATGCATATAATATAATTAGACAAAAACTGCTGTTTACACTAGTTTAAGATGAAGCATGACAGGTACAGTGGACAGTGACAGTGGTAATGATGCAATGCAGTGTAAGTCTATGTGTGCACTGCAGTGATCTCACAGAGCTGTGCACATCATCACGCGTGCTTGGAAAGCTTCCAGAGATAACGGTGCTGGTGTAGACAGGTTTAACAATTAATCTGTGCTGATAATCTCTCTAAAGGATTTAAGGGAACTCTCCAGGCAAAACACCAACATACAGAACATGTGAACTCAATTATGTCCAAGGACACTATGCTACCGATCTAGGGCCCTATGAAATCAGTTTTATTTTTCCCCAAATTCTGTTTTTTAATTTTAATTTTTTTTTTTTTACCCTTGACTGTTATTTTAGTCGTAAAAAGAGCGTGCTTTTAAAGTTAATGATTAAAATGTAAACAAATAAAATAGGAATGACCTTAATTTTATTGAGGTAATACAAACATTTACTCGGTAGTCTTTTCAGGACAAATACTGCATGATGCAACATAACACTGCACTCTTCAAGTAACAACAAAATATGGTTATGAGCTTCAAACTGTCCAGTAAAATAAATTATATTAGTTTATCTAAGTTTAAATAAAGTCACACTCTGTCTCTCTCTCGCCCAGTGTCGCTAACGTAGTTTGCTTCGCTTTTGTCCAATCCGGCGCCTTATAGACAGGCATGGTGTGCACGTTGTGTGTGTGTGTGTGTGTATGTGAGAGAGACGCGTGAGGCGGAGGGAGAGCGGGGAAAGGAAATACAACTGAAAGAATACGCTGCGTGATTTAAATAGTGTTAAAAAATGAACTAAACGCAGTATGTGGCGGCGAATTAGTATGTGTGGGAAACACTGCATAAGTCACGTGCGAACTGCTCGGCTCGACAGGTTCTTAACTTTTTTGCCAACGAAAGCAGAGCCGTGGAGAGTTGCTTCGCCATGTTTTCAATGTTTTGATTTTGTCATTGGAGCTGAAATGACAGGGGGAGGGGTTTGTGTCGCCCAGATTTGCTTCCCCCGGTCTGCATTTTCACCAGACATCCGTTCTTATCCCACACAAAAACAGAATTTCAAACCAAATATGTAAAATTCCACGAAATTCCATGTTAACACTAGATTCCGCGTTAATTTGCCAATTCCGCCCGCGATTCCATGATCGCGGTAATCATAGGGCCCTACGATCCCACAATATCCCTCTCATAAAAATGTTTAATATTTCTTTGTTGTACGTTTTTCAAAATCCTAAACTGACTGTTTATTTCTAGGTTTAAATTAAATTTTAAATTCGAGATTCTTCTGTACAATTTGTGCTTGATCAAATATATAAACATACTCACATAATCTCTGTTAGTCTGATGTGCCAGGGAAGAAAACCAAGTGTGCTTTCCACAGGGCCAAACTTCAGCACCAGGTCTGGGTCAGGTATGTTTTCCGACTCTGCATGGGAAAAAACATGCATCAGTGGAATGAAAAACAGCTCTATGAGGGTGAGGCTGAAGATGGAGAACAATACAGGCTCTTTTGGTAACAGATGATCTTGGAGACCATAGAAACAGCAGACAAAAGGTTCTGCTCGTGAAAAGTGGCTGTGCTTTATGCGGCTCCGCATAACCAGTCAAATGCATTGCACATGCATGTCAAAATGCTTTTATGATGCAAAATGACTGTAAACACAGTCCATAATTAGACAGACAGGACAAAGATTTGATGCGTAAAATTGATTTGTACATCAGCATGAATGCAGCCTATTAGATCTCCCGATGCCAATGATGTCATCAGTAAACAGCAGTAAAGCTCTTGACTAGAAAATGTTCAGCTATTGAAAGCTCCGTTTTTTGCTGATGTTTCGTCGTTGTTCCTCAAATTTTCTTCGTTTATTTGATATTTGCTTGTATGTTTTGAAACTATATGAATATTCTTAACATAAAATTGTTTTGATTTAATTTTTACTTATGTTAAAACGTAGCTACTTCTGACTACACAAGTAATTGAATCTTAAATTTATTTGTAATTTTTTTTTTTTGTACAAATCAATTCTACAAGAAAAACCATAGATCAAGAGCTGTTTTGGAATCCGATCGGATCGTGAGGTGCCTAAATATTCTCAACCCTAAGGATGAGCGCAGCGAGCTGCAATAACAGAGCAGTGATAGCTGTGATATGAATATTCACCATCATTCAATTCAATTCATATTTATTTTTATAGTGCTTTTCACAATACATATCGTTTCCAAAGCAGCTATACAGAATATGCATGTTTCTACGTTACAATTAAGAGTAATGTGATGGCCAGAGTTTCATTGTGAATCTGACATTATCATGCTCAAGATATATATTCAGTGTTTCGCATACATTGATTAATATGTGGCAGAGCCCACCACAATATCAACATTGACCACCATAAATAGATCCCATTCATTAAATAGACTGTGGTTGCCTGAAAATATATTTTTCACCTTCTTTTAATAACACAAAAAAAGTCACATTTTGCGCCACTGCTGTCTAACAAACTAAAATCAAAAGCACAATAAGGTTTTGAGCCCTTATAAAAAGACTGTCTGTTATAGTTGCACAAAGAGAAGTACAGTATGCGCACTTCCCTCATGCGATCAGCATCTTTGCTTGGATCATGTTAATATGCAGTGGTTACCTCTAATTTCAAATGGCTTTCAATAAGGCCAGTAACAAAGCAGATAAACAACAAATAAATGTTTCTTAATGTATTTTTGGGACTAAACACTCATATTTAACTGCTAGTTTGCGCTAATGGTCAGCTGACTGATTACTACTCACCTCTGAGTAATGAGTCCATCACATTGACATCAATGTCTTTGGATGTCCTTTCCTTCTGCTCGACGGCCCTACAGAGCTGCTGGGCTGCCTGGACGATACTGAGCCGCCCATCGTCTGGAGATAAGACCTTTACCACTGACTGACAAGATAAAACTATAAATGAAAGACAGAAAATAATTATTAAGTGAAGTGCGGACAAAACATTTAGAAAGACTAAAATACCCAGGTGAGGCACTGTCCCTATTTCATATGTAAATTTAGAAAATGACTAAAAGTCGAAGACATGTGATAAGACTGAGCTCAAAGCAGCAATTATTTCACATCTTATGAATAAGCTCAAGATATTTTAATATGTCATTGAAGATGGAAAAAGTGAGGGATAAAACTAAGTTAAGTCAGAGCAATATTTAGTACATGTACATGGTCATGCAGATGGAATATGTTCAAAGAAAAGGTGAAAAGTAAATAAATAGAAAGAATATAAAATACAATATAAATTAAAAGTTTAGGGTCAGTAAGAAATAGGGATGCAACGGTACACGGTAAAATCCCGGACCGTTCGGTCAGCCCTGCACGGGACAATCTAACCTCGTGTCCCGCGGGACTTCGGTTCTGCCATAGAGTTCGTGCTGATCCTTTTACCGTATTTTCCGCACTATAAAAGGCGCACTTAAAAGCCTTTAATCTTCTCAAAAAACGACAGTGTGTGCCTTATATTCGGGAGCGCCTTACTATATAGCTATGGATCAATTAGTTAACAACGCTCCGCGTTATTAAATTCGCCCGCGAACTTGCGCTCGTGTCCAGCTTATTCCCGCTTTGTTTGTCACACGGCCAGTTCAACCACGTATAAATCAGGTAATGTGTGTGTCGCTCACGAGCGCTCACTTATTATCAGACACACGAACACAGACCGGCGCTGCTCGCGCGTCATAGACGTTCATAAAGCGCTCCCCGTTCACACGGGTCATCTCATTCAAAACAACCCACTGTTGTTAGTGAGCCGCCGCACATTGAATACTCATATGAGTCAGGCTGCGAATGTAAGTTACGTGCCCGCCCCAGCGCGCTCACGCTTACTAAATAAACGCCTCACCTCGGCTCCACGCACTCGCTACATTCCCAGCACAGATGCATAATGCAAACCCAGTCAAACGTTGACTGCAGTATATTTTTGCACAAGAATCTCTCAAAAGTGGATGAGTAAATAACATTGCACTTTGTATCCTGAATGCAGTATTTTTTTTTTAATTATATTATTTTGCTCTGCTCTTTTTATTCAAACCACAAGCTAATTTATGTTAAAGGTAAAAGTGCACTTTTTCTTTCACATTGATCACTTCATTTACCAGTTATCAAGGTTTGGATTTGGGATCCACTTGAATATTTTGAAGTTTGCTTGTTTACATTTTGTATTTCATAAGTGGTAGTTGAAGAGGTTCAGTACAGACTAGAGTGTTAATTTATTCCATACACATTGATGTTCTTACTACTGTGACATTCTGTTTATGCTCATAAGAAAAATAAAACATATTTTTGGGATGAAATAGCAGTCTCTTTCTGCACAAAACGTACCGAAACCGAACCGAGACCGTGGCCCAAAAACCGAGGTACGGACCGTACCGTGGGCTATCTGTACCGTTGCACCCCTAGTAAGAAATTGTGTTTTGAAAGTCTCTTAGGCTCACCAAGGTTGCATTTATTTGATCAAAAATACAGTAAAAACAGTTATTACATACATCATTCTATTTTAGTATAATTTTAAAATGTAATTTATTTCTGTGATGGCAAAGCTGAACTTCCAGCAGCACTAATAAACATATATTATTATATAAATGTTGAAAACAGTTGTGCTGTTTAATCTTCAGGATTCTTTGATGAATAGAAGTTCAAAAGAACAGTATTTGTAACAAAATAAGGTAGCTGTAATATAGGGCTGGGCGATATGGCCAAAAAATCATATCTCGATATTTTTTGGTCAAATGGCGATATACGATATATATCTCTGTACTTTCTACGTTTTCTATTTAGATAAAGAAAATCTTTATATTTAATATATATATATATATATATATATTCACATTCGGCCCAATGATATCCTACAAACAATGTTGATATTGAAGGATATGGAAACAAATATAATATAGGCTATGCAATATATTATGTGCAAAAAGCGTTTGTTTTTATATTGACTAAAAGCTAAACTAAAAATGAAAATAAAAACAAAAACAAAAGCACAAACTAATTATATTAGCCTGCATTTGATTACCCCATTATAATCACTTTCACTTTCATTAAAAATATATACTTGTAGGTTTAAAATTCCACATATGGCACATTTATTTTCTCCAACAACAAATATTTTAGCAATATGTTTATTTTAGTCAGAATTATTGCGTACTACGTAGTACTATTCACGCGCATGCGCGCGCCGGCGCTCGTTCAAGGAAGCATGAATTTTAGCGGAGATTCACTTGCAGAAGCTCGTCCTCTTCTGACATGGACATATTTGCTTTACTTTCTAACATTTACAGATGGAGAATATACCTGTGAAATGTAAGTTGAGCACTGAGGAAAGCACCACATCTCAAACGCATTAAACAGCGCAAGTATATCTGTCAGTCAGCAACAGTGTCTGTCAGAGCATTTGACAGGGCGGCAAGCTGCCTTAAACTTGTTAACTATATCAAAGTGATTTTGACGCAATTAATATAAGCTTGTGTCATGTTTAGGACAAATTGTACTACGTAGCCTAGCTACTTTCACTGCAGCAGCTCACACTGCAACCTCCGCTATTTTTCAGATGTGCTCATATCAAACTGTATCGATATAAACGGTATTGCCTCATTCCATATCGTTTCAAAAAATATAACGATACATCGTACATACTCGATATATCGCCCAGCCCTACTGTAATACTAAGTCATGTTTGATCAATTTAATCCTTTCTGAATAAGAAGTATTCATTTATTCCTGAAGAAAAAGAACAATTCTTACTGACTCAAACTTTTTACTGGTATAAATGATTTCAGGGCAAAATCTGAACTACTAGTCCAACTGAAGTCCTTATTGTTGATCTCTAAAAAATATGTTGCCTATGCGTAGGTGTAAAACAATAACCAAAGTGGGTTTTCCCCATGTATCCCTGACTCAGGTTCCATAGTCTTCAAAAGATGAATCGCTTAAGGCACATTTGGAGAAGTAAAAGACATTTCCAGGCCTACAGAGTTTGAACTAACAATGAATCTTTCCGAAATACAAATTGCATAAAAGTTTCTGCATTTTTCCACAAAGCCTGTGGTGAATTAAGCAGAAGTCATGAATACAGATAATAAAACAACTAATCATTACGAGGTGTCAGAGGAACAAAAAGGGACAAAACCAACAGTCATCCAACCGGTTTGAACAGGCGTCCAACCACAGTGGGTGACTCAAACAAAAAGCAACAGTCATTTTCTCCGATTTTGCGCTTTTGAACCTCACCTTGATGCTCTTGTTTATCTGTACCGTTCTTCAAAAACTCCACCGAGTATTTGGAGCTGTCCATTCCCAAAAGCTCCTGCTGCTTTTTCAGGATCTCCTCCATGAGTCTGGAGTTATTCCTCTTGAAGACACCTTTGAAACAAGGATGACAAAGAGATGATGACCTAAATTATATATCCCACTCCCATAAACACTAACGTTTCAGCAAGATGTTCATCATCCATGAGAGTTAGAAACTACTATAAAAAACATGCTGTGAAGTCACTGATATAACAGATGCTGGAGTTGCGCTAAATATAGTCAGAAACGTACAATTTTTACAATATATTGTCAGACTCGACAATTGAGGAACATTACATTAGTGAATTAAATTTGCTGGTCTTTTAAATTAATCACTAATGATAATGGTGTTTAGATCAGTGCCGTTCAACTGGTGGGATGCAGTCATGTTCTGCCAGGGAATAATCCATCCATGCTAAATAATAAACTGCAATTAAAGAAAATATTAAAGAACATTCAAATAAATAAAGCAAAATTAATAGGATTATCACATTTTAAAAGATCTTGAAGCAAAACGAGTTGAGAAACACTGGCTACTTGGTTTCTTGGACCACGGTGGCATAAATGAAAAAGAAGGTAATTTGACCTTTAAATTGAGATGTGATTCAGATCTCGGTTCACCCTTACCACACTTTTGGAGGTCATGAAATATATGTCAAAGGTTTTAAGAAATAAATCACATCACATAGCCAACTCCCCTTGCTCCATTGAGAAATACTGAGCTGAAAGAGATTGTTTTGAAATAGGCCAGACACATTGTACTCTATAAAGACGAGTAATAGGCCTTAGGCATTTCAAAACCTCCTAAAAGGATTGAAAGACACTTATTAATGTAAATAATGGTATCATAAAGTCTAGTTTTTAGTGTAAGCATGTAATATAAACGAAACCATTCAACAATAATCATCCTATTTGACTTCAACATAAAGCATAAAAACTTTTGCATTAATGCAATCATATCTGAACACAGAATTCATCACTAAAAGACTTTAAATGTGTCAATTGAAGTCTTTGCTTAAATCATCACGAGTGTTGAAGAAAAACAGCAGGTGACTGGATGCATGTGACAGAGACAGCAATTCACTTCCCTTTATTCAGTGCAAACCTGGATGAGACTTACCTTGATTATCATACACACTGACATATGAGATGCCCACTGCCATGCACCAGACCACTAGATTGGCAATGTCAGTGTAGTGGATCTCCTCCTCAGTGATCAATAACCCCACATGAATGGGCAGCTTTTCTAACGTCCTGCCTTCGGCTCCCCAGCGAACCTGGCGGCTAGACCGTTTGCCAGTGCGTCCAGCCTTTTTCTGATTATGAAAGCCAAGGGCAAGGGGCAGTAATAACCCCACCACAGCTCGTTTCCATCTCCAGATGTGGACTCGGAACCAGGCTAGCAGCGCGCGCTGAACATAGAGCAGCGCGTGCAAAAACCGCCAAACCATCTCATATAGTAAAGCCATGCGTCTTTAAACGCGTTCCTATTTGAAAATCTATCGGATTTTAAAGTATATTCCTCATTTTAAAGTAATACGTGAGCGTGTGAGCGATGGTCTATCGAGAAATTTGCCATTTTGGTCACTGCCAACGCCGCAGCGCGCCGCCGGCTGCCATTTCTTCTTCCTGCCAACCTTTCCACTCTGAACCTGCTGCTGTGTGACATGGAGCTCTCTGATTGGATGGCTGACGTCATTCTAACCGCTGGTCTGGGGTCAGTTATGACGTTTGCCTGGCAAGTGTTAAGGAAAGAAAATAACTGTTAACGTCTGGTTTCAGATCAACACTGTTTTAGCCTTAAGAGGGATTCAATGCGATTGGTTGCTGGACCAGCAAACGGAATATGTGTAAATCCTATTATTTTAATAGGATTAAAAGATGCCTTGTCATTAGATTTATGAATATAAAAAAACACAATGTTATACATGTGTAATAAAATATAGTTCTAAAATCGATACTTTCAATATTATAATATTATATATACGATCACAAAAAAAGCTATTTTTTTTAAAGCTAATTATTGATGAGAAGCGATGAGAATCATATTTTCCCATCTAAACACAGTTAATTTTATTGTAGTGTGATGAATCAGAAAAATAAACAAATATAATATTTGCTTAGGCTATGTTTTATCATTTAATCAATCACATTTTAAATCATTAGGCCAGTATCATGCTGGTGTTTCTCGTTATTATCATTTTGATGTGTTCACCATCATTATCATTTGGAAAAAAATATGTTTAATGCTTTTCTTTTATTAATCTTTATGCCTCAAATGTAGCTGATAGACTTTGGGTGAACTTTTGTACTTGCTGTTTAGATGAGGGCAAAGTTTCCGATAGACAGACCACAAATGCTCGAATGTCTCAGAATAACGTGGTAAACAAATCGTATCTTGCAGAAGGGATATGTTGTGCAGCAGTTCTGTCTTGTGTATTGTGTAAAGGTTAACATCTTTCTGACACATTTGGGGTATACTGTACAAGATAATTGTGTGTATGGCCCCCCTCCACGGTGTGAAACCACATCAGAGGAAGAATCATTTTCTGTACGGGTCAGTCTCTACCTTGGACGAGCCCATGCTCTTTTGGCAACCTGTCTTTTCAAAGAAAGATCTGTCAATCAGCTTTACTTATCTTTAGGCAATTACATTATACTCTGAGTGTGTTAATATTTTACTTAAAAATATGGCCATGGGGAAACTATCTTAACTTGTTTTTTTGACAGTTCTTAAAAGAGATCTGAAGACATTGGTGTTAATCTGCTGGCCTGGCAAACCAGCTCATTTGCATGTAAAGGGACAGTGCATTTTACCCTCAAAAAGTGACAATTTTAACATGCTGTTTAAAAATATATCTGTGTGGTATTTTGAGCTAAAACTACACATACACACTCTGGGAATATCAAATACTTATTTTACAGCTTGTGAAGGGCATTATACCACCCATTTAAGGTGATGTTACATTGTACTTACTAAAATAATTACTGGTGGGAAATATGAATTAACTTTTATGAATCAGCCAAATTCTGACTCTACCATCTGAATGTCTCAACAAAAATAGAGACTCATCAAACCAGGCAACAGTTTTCAAGTCTTCAACTGTCAAATTTTGAGTTTGCTTGCTCGTTGTTGATTGTAGGAGACACATAGAATAATGCAGACTCTCATTGTTATGAGAAAACAGCTTCACAAACCTCTGTGCTGCTGAAGCTGCATTTTGAGCATCCAAGGCTTAAATATCCAAGCCATGTGAGAATTAGACTCTGCTTTATTTAGAACAATGGCTGAGATTATTATCTTGCTTAGAAAACAAAATCTTTCACCGGCAAGGAACTGACATATCAGCAATATATCGTCCTGACTGTTTGCAAATAAGAAACTTGCTGATAAACTATTTACATCCCATTCTGTTGAATGCATGCATTTTTATAGGCCTATATAAATTGTTGCATTCAGTAATATTAACTTTATAAAACAAAGCTTTAAAACCTAACATGCATAACATTTTTATATTGTAGACTATTGGTCAAAACTGTTAATTAGCCTACACATTGTAAAATGCCCTGGAAATATAGGCCTATAATGTCTTTATAACCTAAAAAAATAAATATAAAGTTAAATAATAATGAAAATATATATATTTATAGATGTATTTATAAATACGTAGGTTGGTTTGTGCTACAAATAATCATAATTATTAAACATATTTCTTGAGATACTGTATGCCAGTGGTAATTAGTTTGAATGCTTTTTCGTAATGCTTTTTAATGACAGAATAATGACTAATTTTCCATTATTTCGTTATTTTCTCTATACCAGGCTTTATATAGTTATGTACTTTGTTAACAATTAAAAAATAATAATAACAGAAAAAAACAATCATGTATAGGCATAATTACCATTTGCAAACATATCACACAGTTCATAAAACTGTATTTGTTGCACAAACGGTCTATCTGCTGTAAATTCCCATGAAGCAAACACAGATCTGACTTACTCAGCAATCGATTCGCTCGTCTATCGACTGTCTTCCTCATTGACGGACCTCATCGTGTGGCAGACCAAACTAATCGATCCAAGTTGTTGTCTTGTTCGATCTCTGATTTCCTGGTCAGATGAGAGCACGGAAAACACCTCAACAAAGCATCACTCTCACTGTCTATCTCACCAGAAGCATCTTATCAATATAACTTGAACGACCAAGTGATCGCGCCGAGTAAAGGACTAAATTGAAGTAAATCTGCGTGTTCTTCCTGTAACGTTACCCGAGTTGAAGATGTCTGCGTCCGCTGGCGGTGCTGGATCCCCGGGCTCGGCCCTCTCCGCCGGTTCGCCTGCGGCTCCCGGCCCCGGCATGTCCATGTTCCGATGGCTGGAGGTGCTGGAGAAGGAGTTTGACAAGGCGTTTGTGGATGTGGATCTGTTACTGGGAGAGATCGACCCGGATCAGGCTGATATCACATATGAGGGCCGTCAGAAGATGACCAGTCTCAGCTCATGTTTTGCTCAGCTGTGTCATAAAGCCCAAACCATCTTCCAGCTCAACCACAAAGTAGAGGTGAGGAAAAGAGATGAAAATGATCTTTTAAAGGCTTTAGGCAAAGTTGATGCTCTTTTATTTATGGACATAGAACTCTCTGTGGGCTATATGTTTCAATCAAATCTGTTTTGATAGTTTGGGAGTGACTAATTGTGACATATTTGGAATTATGGGTGGTGGGTGTTACTCTTTAATACTAGGTTTGTATATATTTTACAAAAAAATTTAATTAGAATATAAATAGGTTTTGAATATTCTCTAAAATTGTAACTTCGTGTTTCAGTTGGATTTTAAACTATTACTACTATAAACGAACAAAGTTACCACCTAAATACCACGGCATATAAATATACACTAGACCATTGTGTGTGTGTGTGTGTGTGTGTGTGTATATATATGTGTGTGTTTTTTTCCGTTTAGATTTATAGATTATGGAAAACTTCCTATTGTGTAACAATACTTCTAAGTTAATGCACTAATAAACCTGGCAGGGTGATCAGGATCCTGCCACGAAGCAAGATGTCGTGATGTAATAAAAAAAGGCAAACATACAAAACACCATGTTCATATTTAGAGTTGTAAATGTTAAATAGGTCAAATCCGGCCAATTATTTTATCTGGAAAATGCTTTGCATAAGGATATAAAAACCTGTTAAACCTGCTTAGCTCAGTGCTAGACTGGTCATTCTTCTGTTTGAATTGACATCATGTAAAAGACCCCTCAACATTAACTGCAGGATAATATGAATCTATGTACGAGCTCATATTTGTATTAAGAATTGTGGCTGTTGAGTTCTGCTCTCCTGTGATTTTTCTGTTACACAGTCTAGATAATTAGTGTTTTGTCTGTGTGTTGATGGTTTCAGGCTTCCCAGGAGACCAGATCGTGTAATCTGCTTTTCCCACCACTTTTCAAATCTGTTAATGGCTTTTTATCAAAGCTCACAGTCCAATTTGAAAAGCAGTGTTAGGCTACCGTCCACAGGGGAAATCGTCTTTGACATAGAGGAATCCCATGAGTCCAGGATAGAAAATTCAAAATAACATGTTCTTAATGCTAGTGACTCTCATGTATATTTGTGTGGGGGCTGAATTTCTTTCTGAGAAGGTAGTTTAGCACATGACCTCTTCACTGGCGCAGCTGAGCAGAGCAGATTAACACACAGCTTGATAAAAACCCTGCTGCACAAGAGTATAGTTGGATGTGACAGTAAACAGCTTCCTGTGCTTATAAAAGCACTGAGGCGAGACTATACCATTCCGTGGTATTCATTTACACTCAACTAAAGGATTATTAGTAACACCTTTTCAATTTCTCATTAATGATTTTGATTTCATGCTACTACTCCTATGATGTAATTTTCCAAGGGTCCCACCCAAATATCTTTACTGAACACCCTCTCTGAAGGCTGTTACTGTATAAAAGGTCTTGGCATACAACGAGGCCTTTTTCTCTAGTTATAGGCTGCATCGCAAACTCTTTTGAGGAACTTTGGTGCCTTCGTTTCAAGTCAGATTCAGTTACATTTTTAATTCAAAGGAAAGATATTCAGTTTTGCCGGTTGAAATTTTGTTAGAATATCGTTTTGCTTTTCGCTTATCGATTGGGAAGGGAAGCGGTGGGAATCTGAAGTATTCTGAAGGGCCATTAGGTTTAGATTCACCACTCTCGCTGCGCTTGATTTGAGTACAACCGTACAGACAGATAAATGAATCTTCTTTGATGCATTACTGCTAAATATGAGAGTCCCTCAGCTAACATTGGCTATCCAGCAGAGGCCAGGCGCATAAATAAATGAGTGGATTTTTTACGAGAGGACGTTTATTTCTGTCCCTGATGCAGATTCTCTACTAAAGAGGCTGAAATGAAGGAGGATTGAGCTGCTTTCTAAATGACCGTGCCTTCGGATGGGGGATGGGATCACATAATTCACTGTGGCTGTGGTTGTTAATGGGTGTGTCGGATGAGTTAATGAATTAACCATTTTAGAAAAAAAAACCACCGCATGTTTATGTTTCGGATGAACCTAAGATAAACTAAATGTCAAGTGTTCTTTGTACAGATTGTTTAGCATAGCTGATTCAAATGCATTTAGTTATTTATTGGTTTGAACATGAAAAAAATACAGTTTTTACAAACCTATTCCAAACAACGTTTGAAATCCAATTTTTCTAATGAAATCCGATGAATCAGATTGGATTTCAAGTGGGTTTTTTATCATGCAGGACTGTAACATCTTACACAAAGCCTCAAATTAACGTACTATATATACAGTGAATGAATGCATATGCATGAATATGATGTAAGAAATATCATTATGGATATATGCAGAGGCGAAGTATTAATTTTTCCATCTTCTCTACAGCTACATGCTAGAGTCATTCATTCAACATCGGAAACATGGCTTAACTTGCAGGAAGGCATGCACTAATTGCTAGACCACTGTCTAGTCCTTCGAAAAGTCACACAATTTGGTAGCATAGTTTTAAATTTGCAGCTTTCCATTGAATTAGAGTCTTTTAGGATAAATATCTGCCTTCGTTTTTATGTTTTTTTTCCTCCATTTTTGTTGATCTGTAATGTATGTCTTTACTTTTTTGGATCAGACACTATTTGAGTCAGCACAAGTCTCAGCATGATTCATGATTTTGGATGGCTAGTTAATAATACTGTGTCTGTGTGTGTGTGTGTGCTTTAGGCTCAGCTGGTGGACTTGCGGTCGGAGCTGACGGATGTCCAGGCGGAGAAGGTCGTGGTGGAGCAGGAGGTTCACGAACAGCTTTTGCAACTCCACGCCATGCAGCTCAAACTCCAAGCCAAAGGAGGCCAGGCGGTCGACTCAGACTCTATCAAGGACAGGATGGTGAGCACAGCTTCATATTACTACAAATGCAGCAGAACTGACTGGGTTTTATAGATGATTTATTTAAAAAAAACTGTGAGACACTTGGATATAATGTTAGCATTAAAAGGATAGGTCACCCCGTCATTTATTTACTCTCCCCTCAAGTTTTTCCAAACCTGTATGAATTCCTTTTTTCTGCTAAACACAAAAGAAGATATTTTGAACAATATGGGATAACCAAACTGTTGATGAGCCCCATTGACTTTCATATTTTTGTGCCCCCATACTATGGAAGTCTATGGGCCCATCAACTGTTTGGTTTCCGACATTCTTCAACATATCATATTTTGTGTTCAGCAGAAGAAAGAAATTCATACAGGCTTGGAAAAACTAGAGGTGAGTAAATGATGACTGAATTTTCATTTTTGAGTGTACTATCCCTTTAAGGCCACCTGGATCTTCAAATCAAAAAGTTTGCAAAAGTATGTGGACACCTGATCACTGAACATCTCATTCCAAAACTATTGGTATTAACAGGGGCTTTCGCACCAAGTAGTTATAGGAATATAGTTATAGACCATTTCACAAGATGTAAACAACACTGGTCCAGAAACACTTCCTGTTTCAGTTTGTAACGGTTTTCTTTATTTCACATGTAAAGAAAACATCTTAAAGATGTTTGTTTAACTTTTTTATTCAGTTTTATATGTTCTGTTGGTTGTATTTTATCCCCAGCTTTTATGTAGTGTTAAACTGAAACAGGAAGTGCTTCTGTACCAGTGTTGTTTACATCTTAAATGGTCTATAAGAACTAGCCACCAGGATGAGAACTAAATGTTACGCTGGACTAGGGCCTCTTTCCTGGTTGCATTCGCACCGCCAGTAGGAAATCTGAAGTGACGCAAGTCGTGCTTGTTGTGACTTTTATTTGACGGCGCTAACAGCGCTCACATTCTCCGTCTTCATTAGTTTATGATCTGTTTAACAGTCCTGTCTAATACGTTATTTATACAAATAAAGTAAACAGCATTAGTGTTTGCCGTGTGGTTGATTAACCAATGTTGCTAGCATGCTAGCATGACTATATTGCTAGCATCTCATTGGGTTTTCTCCTTAGCGTAAAGATTCATCTATCACTGTTTTCCATGTTTGCTCTGAGTAAATATATATAGGCTATAAACTATGTGTGCTCACAACGTTTTTTGTTTTTTAATGGCGGGTGCTGATGTTTCATGTGCGTTCAGACAATCAGTGTACATTTACATCACTGGTAGTTCCTATTATTGGGTTAGACCCTGCTCCGAAGTAGGAGCTGAAAAAAGGAGAACTAAAATCATTCCTATTTCCGGAAAGGGCAAACATGCCAAAAAGCAGGTACTCTGCTTTCTGCCACTAGTTCTAGGAACTATGAAAAGGTTCCTCTGCTGCGAAAGCCCCTAATGTGGAATTAAATCCATTATAATGGCCTCCACTCTTTTGGGAAGGTGTGTTATTGATGTGACTGACTGATGGAGTCATTTGCTTGCATTGGGGTGATAGTTGAGTCTAGCATTGATGTTTGGTGATTAAGAGGTTAAGAACAGGCCAATCGAGTTCTTCCAGACCCATCTCAAAAGAGAATACTACTAGAATTACTATACTAGACGAACCTGACAGAAATGTTGTTTTAGCATTTGGCAAACAAACCACAGACTATCTGTAGGTTCTGTGCTTTAGGCTTAGTTTTCAATTCATTTGTAACTATGGTGCCTAGGTATTATTTTACATGTTACACAATATGCAAATAGCAGATGCAATGATTATTTACATGTTATGACCAACAGTTATAGTCAATAAAATTTTATTTAAATAAATGAAAAATAAATCACTAAAACTAACCCTTACAGAATGAAAAATGCATTACACTTAAGAGTGTTATTCAATTACTTTAAAAAGAGTGTTAGGAGAAAGTTAATCTGCACAATTAGATATCCATAAATAAATATTACTTGACGTTTTATATAAATATGATGGATAAAAAAGGAATAGGATTTATTTGAAATAGATTTGTTTGTTAAAGTCTTTACTGTCACATTTGATCAATTCAATTTTGATACCAATATGTTATTATTAACTCAAGTTTCGACGGCAGTTTGTCAGTCAACAGTGAGTATTAAATCTGCACTTTCAGGACTCGGCTGTCCTGTTCTGTAACTGACCTGTCATTGTTGCTAGACTTTTTCACTTCACAGCAGCACGACTTGAATAGCCCAGGGCAGAAATCTGACGAAACCACTTGTATGTCTGCTGAGATTACATGGCTGTATTGTTCTGTTTATCCTGTAATAGACTGTAATAGTCCAGTCCACTAATTAGCACATGTCCACATACTTTTGTCTGAGTAGCGTAGCTGTGACATGTGATGGTGTAATTGTATGATCAGCTGTAATGAACACTAACAGGCTCTGTTTGGGTGGGCACTCTGCAGTCTTCCTGGCTTAACCCTGCTTATGTAAGAATGAATGATGAAGCTTCACAACCGGCTTTCCTGTTTAACCCCTCTAACTTTTGACCCTCTGTTTTTCTTCTCAATCTTAAGCCTGTTTCCTCAGTGGAGGACAAGGTAAGTTTTGCATTGTTTTGAGTCTGTGTGTCCCATCTAACTCCACTCTTTTTGCCTGTTAATGCTTATGCTGTCTAAAGTAGGGATGGGCAACGATTAATCGCGATTAATCACATCCAAAATAAAAGTTTATGTTTGCATATGTGTGTGTAGTGTGTATTATTAATTTGTATATAAATACACACACATGCATGTGTATATATTTAAGAAATATTTGCATGTATATACTTTATATATATTTATACATAATTAATATCATATAAAAATATAAATATTTGATATATTAAAAACACATTTTTTGTTAAATATACACATACATGTGTAGGTGCATAGCTACTGCTAGATGTTTTTTTTTTTACTCCAGGGGTTGTAACAAATGCAGAGGTGCCATTCATATGCAAGTCATGTTCTATTAGCTTTCCTGATTGGCTGGATTCATGTCACTTGGAAAACTTGATGTCAAATCTACATTTGTTACAATTCTGCGTCTATAGTATGTGCACACATGAAGTAGTCTATCTTAAAGGAATAGTTCACCCAAAAATATATTTTTCTTACAAAAACCCATCGCTTCACTTTATTAACCTGCTGGAGTTGTATGGATTACTTGATTACTTATGATGGATGGATGCGCTTTTTGGAACTTAAAAAAACTCAAATCTGGGAAGAGCCAGGATATTGTTTAATTTAAATCTGATTGTGTTTAGTCATATACACATAGGATGGCTTGAGGGTGAGTAAATCATTTTCATTTTTGGGTGAACTATTCCTTTAACTAGTGTGTTTGTCTGGTGATCTCACCTCACCTGTGTGTTATTTGTTCTTATTTTTGTGGTCATTGTGGTGACGTAGGTCTTCTGCTTCTTGTCCTCTTGGGCAGCACGTTGGAAGAGCTGTTTAATGACAGTGGTTTGATGTTACCTCAGTATAGACACATGGTCAGACCTCCAGCACACCACCTCAAAAGCTCACCTCTTGTCTTTGTTTGATTACATTTCACAGGAGAAGGAACTGGAGGCCAGTAAGAAAGAGAAAGTGAAGGAGGCTAAGTTGGAGGCAGAGGTGAAGATGCTGAAGAAAGAGAACGAGGCCCTCCGCAGGCACATCGCGGTCCTACAGGCTGAGGTGTATGGAGCCAGACTGGCGGCAAAGTACTTGGACAAGGAGCTGGCTGGGCGGTAAGGGACAGCATTGTTCTTCTGACCGCTATGTGGGTTTCATGTGGCGATATCTTGCACACAAAGAGCCGAAGTGGTTGGTAAAAGGAATGCTTTTTTTTATTATTTAGGGTGCAGCAGATCCAGTTGCTCGGGCGAGACATGAAAGGACCAGCTCATGACAAACTGTGGAACCAGCTTGAAGCGGAGATTCACCTGCACCGCCACAAAACAGTGATCCGAGCCTGCAGGGGGCGCAATGATCCCAAGAAGCCCTTGCCATCACCTGTGGGGCATGTAAGACACGTTCATTTCATTTACAAGTTGGCGAAATTGCATACAGAAGGCGAAATAGTTATATCAGAATAAACTTTCAATAGTCAAGAGAATAATTTGCCTGTAGTGTATCAGAAGTTAAAGCAACACTAAGTAAGAATTTTTACCTTAAAATCATGTTTTCAAAATCGGTTCAGTGGTTATGCCACCGCTTTGCAGTCCTTCATATGATAAATCCACACTATGCAAGATTGCCAGATCGGATCACGTTAATGTATTGCGAATAAGACGTAAGAAAAATACAAATTTGACTTGCTTTATGGCAAGTGTTACAATATACTGTTATATTATATAACAGTGTATAATGTTTAACTTGTATATTGTAATTACATTCTTATTTATTTATTTATTCTTGTAATTACATTCTTATTTATTTATTTATTTATTCTTGTATTTTTTTTTTAAAAAAATACAAAATAAAATGTGTATATATATATATATATATATATATATATATAAAAAGGCAATGAAATAAGCTTAATTATCCATATGCAATATATGTATTATATATATATATATATGTGAAGAGTTCAGATGCAAAAGCCTCTAAGTGCCATTTGAAATTTTGTTCTAGAATGACCATTTATCAAGCTTGTGTATTTAAGTTCAGTAATTTCACTTAAATTACAATTAATATGTAATCTTCATTGCCATTTAACTGAAATTACTGAACTTAAATACACAAGCTTGATAAAAATGATAATTTTAGAAGAAAATTTCAAATGGCACTTATAGGCTTTTGCATCTGAACTCTTAATGTATATATATATATACACACACACACACACACACACACATTATTATTATTTATTTATTAATTTTGAGATGAACTATTACCATTTTCAGGTGATTCACCCTTAGTGTGTGCTCTATATATTTACCTCTCCAGGAAACAGATTCTCTGAAAAAGACTCAAGGAGTCGGCCCTATACGTAAAGTGGTTCTGAGCAAAGAAGATCATGAAGGACTTGGCATCTCCATTACTGTGAGTTCAGCATGCAGGGTGCTCCATCCATTATTGTGAACTAGACATGATTTCATTTCATGTTTGTTCCAAAAATCAAAGTCCTGATTCAATGTTTACATTCCTGGAATTATACAGGGTGGGAAAGAGCACGGTGTCCCCATACTCATTTCCGAAATCCACCCCACCCAGCCTGCAGAGCGTTGCGGAGGACTGCATGTGGGAGATGCCATCTTAGCCGTCAACAACATCAACCTGAGAGATGCAAAGCACAAAGAGGCAGTCACCATCCTCTCACAGCAGGTGAGACACACACACACAGACTCTCTTTCGGTTCAGTTTGCAGCTCGACGAGGGCGCTGTCAGATCAGGATTAGCTTGTCACACAAACTTATTATTAGAACCAAGTTTCAATCCCATTCCCACACTTACAGAGAACCTCCCAAAGGTTAAGATGGTGTTTCATTGGGCTTGTGTTATGAGGGATTTGAGGAGAACACATTGCTTTAAAGGGATAATCCACCCAAAAATGAACATTCTGTCATTATTTACTCATCCTCATGTTGTTCCAAACACATTTGACTTTCTTTTTTCTGTTGAACACAAAAGGTGGCCACTCTTTTCAGTTCAATGAAAGGGAATGAGGACTTGGGTCTGTCAAGCTCTAAAATGACAACAAAATCCACCATTTAAATTACTCAAGTCTTCTGAAGTCATATCATATTTTTGTGTGAGCAACCAATGGCTATATTTACTCACTTAAAGGGATAGGTCACCCAAAAATTTAAGTTCTGTCATCATTTATTCACCCTCAAGTTTTTCCAAATGGTCCAAATTTCTCTCTTCTGCTGAACACAAAAGAAGATATTTTGAAGAATGTTGGTAACCAAACAGTTGATGAGCCCCATTGACTTGCTATGGCATTTTTTTCTCCATACAATGAAAGTCAATGGGGTCCATTCAAAATATCTTCTTTTGTGTTCAACTGAAGAAAGAATCTCATACAGGTTTGGAACAACTTGAGGGTGAGTAAATGATGACAGCTTTTTTGGGTGAACTATCCCTTTAAGAAACATGCATACAGACACTAACACATTTGGGGGGTTTTCTGCAGAGGGGGGAAATCGAGTTTGAAGTGGTTTACGTGGCTCCAGAAGTGGACTCTGATGACGAGAACGTAGAGTATGAAGATGACAGCGGACACCGCTACCGTCTGTACCTGGATGAGCTGGAAGAGGGATCAGGAGCCAATCACAACAATGGCACTGCTGACCCCGCCTCTCTACAAGGCAAGTCCATTGAATTAATAAATTTTCTTCCTGGCAAATGAAACATTCATTAATACATGTATGAAAATGTGTAAATATACAATTATTCATTGTCAGTTCATGTTTATTTATAATACATTCATGTTTTAATCTGTCAATTTATAAATATACTATTGTCCTATCTCAACTTATACTATTGTTTATTGTCAGTTCATGTTTGTATATAACATTAATATTGTACTTTTATTTTTTTATATTTGATGCTGTTCACTTTGAAATTAATTGTTGGCATGTTTTAGCTTACCTCAAGGGCATCCAAGATGTAGGTGTCTTTGATTCCGCAGTAGTTTCAATTTTGATATTTTTAGGTCAAACCGTTCTTGTCTATCAGTCATATAGTGCAGGTCTATGGTCACCACCTCAAAGAGCATGCACAAATAAGTCCAGATTAAACATGATTTAATGACTCGTAAATGTAAGTACACATCAAAACGAGCGGTTTGTGTGAGAAAACAAACAGTATTTATGTTGTTTTTACCTCATAGACAAGTAAAAAAATATAAATACTGTTTGTTTTCTCACACAAACCGCTCGTTTCGTGTCTTAGGCCATCAATGTGTACTTACATTTACGAGTCATTAAATCATGTTTAATTTTGACTTCTCTGTACGTTATCTTTGAGGTGGTGACCATAGATCTGCATTATATGACTGACTTGACCTAAAAATATCAAAATTGAAACTACTGCGGAAACAAAGACACCTACATCTTGGATGCCCTTGAAGAAAGTTAAAACATACCAAAAATTAATTTCAAAGTGAACTATCCCTTTAATGGTTTAAAGAGAATTGGAGAATTGTGCAGTTTATCTAAACCGGCCATCCGTTTTTTTATCCTTCCAGCTGTAGGGAAGCACTTAGTGAACAACAGAACAGAGAATGGAGACACCGGCTTGTCCAGTGAAAGCCCTTCAGACGACAAGACCTCCAAGACAGCAGAGTCTGCAGAGAGTTCCTCTTAGATCTCCAGCCTACGAGAAGAACGGAGAGCAGAACGAGATTAAGACTGCACATGTATAATATGTAACATACGAGATTCTTCTTGTTTATGCCGTATGGAGAACAGACTGCTTCGGCGTCCACTGGAGATGGATGAACCACTGAGAAACACTGAGAGAAGAGGACATAATATTACTAAGCGGCCACAAAGGATTGCTTGCAAATGTATGTCACGATCTTGGTTTATGGCTGCAAAGAAACACTTGACGGGACAAAATGACCATCTACGTAGATGACTAAAGCGATTGGATGGAATTATATGGTATAAGAGTTTCGATTCTTGACTTCCTCTTTCGTGCATTTAATGACCCTCCATAGGTGAGCTGAATCTGAGCTCAGATGTAGAGCTTCTGCTTTAATTATTCACGTTTCTTCTCTCGTACTGAATATAGCAATCAGTTACTGTTTGCTCAAAGTGTATGTTCATGTAAAACATCATCGTTTTTAACCTTACTGTTTTAACCTAGTGTGAGCTGGTCCTGCTCTAAATCAAAGGCGAACAGGATGGTGTTACTTCCTGTTTTGTGCACAGGGTGGAGGACAGTAGGTGATGGGAGAGAAACAACACAGCATGTCGTAATGACAGTAAACATCCACACATAACGGCTCAAGAACAGCAGGAGTTCAAATGTGCCATTTAATTGACCCAGAATGAGTTTCGTAGAAGAGATATCCTGGTCATATTTTCATATTTTACCACCCCCCATATATAGAAAATTTCCCCCAAATTCTCATCACTGTAACATGCTAATTTTTAATTCAGGTAAACTTTACCCTCAATGTTTAACTTCAGAAGTTCAGTTTAAAAATGTACAATTAAAATGAAAATTATTTATTTATATATTTAGTGCTGCCAAATCGATTAATCATGATGAATCACATGTAAGATAAAAGTATGTGTTCATATAAAGTATATATAAATATAATATTTTTTTAGGGCTGTGAAACGATTAATCACATCCAAAATAAAAGTTTGTGTTTACATAATATATGTGGGTGCACTGTGTATAATTATTATATATATATATATATAAATATACACACACATGCTTGTGTATATTTAAGAAATAGTTTCATGTATATACTGTATAAAGATTTATATATATTATATTATATATAAATATAAATATTTGATATAAAAAATATTTTTTTCTTAAATATACATGCATGTGTGTGTATTTATATATATATATATATTTACACAAAATAATTATATACAGTGCACCCACATATATTATGTAAACACAAACTTTTATTTTGGATGCGATTAATCGTTTGACAGCCCTTAAAGGCAGACGGATATTTATGATGTGATTTATCACAATTAATCAGCACTAATATATACATACTTGAGTTCTTTTTTTTTTTTTTATTTGCATACGAGTAACTTTTGTAATGTGAAAATATTTGTGAGCTACTGACAATTGGGGGACAAGGGTGAACGTGCGTATTTCTCATACAAACAATATTAATTAATTGCCCTAAAATCAAACCTCTTTTCCTTTATTTAAAACATTACTTCTAATTTAAGAGTGAAATATGACTTGGACCTTTTTTTAACGAGATATACCCATCTGCTGAAGTATTTTTGAGTGTCTTTGCTGAACAATGTCGTGATAGTGCCATTGGAACTTACTGTGTTAACGGTGTCTTTAGAAAAGATACTGATATTACCTGGTTAGGGAAGTGGACTTGCATTTTTACACAGCAATGTAGCATAGCGGTATTTAATCCAAGGCAATCTTTATATCCTGTCCAAAAACATAAAAGGGTACAGAACTCTATCAGCCCTATTCAGTCTCAGAATGCCTCAAATCATTACTGTAAATGTGACTAGAAGAGGTTCCTATAATCATCAGTTTTGCTTTCCTATCAGTGAGTTATTTAACATATCACTTTTCTTCTGTTATACTGTCATCTCAATCGCATCTTCAGCTTCAGCCATCTAATGCTCCAGTCTAAATGTCTGCACACTGATTATTACTATATTTAACTGAAACATGGGCTACATAGCAATAAAACAATTCCTAAACACATGCTTTACTCTGCTGAAAGAGAAAATGCTTTAACAAGGTAAAGGCTGGTTTTCAGCAAGGAAGGATAGCTTGAGTGTTAAATATGAAATACTCATAAGGTATTTGCTTATATCACACATTTAGTCTGATATTAATCGCCCAACTGTAATGGTGTTTATAGATGTTATTCAGATGAGGGCAGTCAGGACAATCTTATGAGTATGTGGGCTGGTTTAGTGGACTCATGTTACCTTCATTTTCTTGTTACTGATTAGTTCATCCGGGAGATGATGCCAGTGTATGGCACAGTACAGATGCAACTCTGACCTGAAGAAACATTTTCCCTGTTTTTAGCCAATTCTTTTTTTTTTTTTTCATCTGGTTTGTGTTTTTTTCCCCCTCTGTTTATCGTTTTTCCTGTGTCATAGGAAATGTGCTTCGGAAACACAGGAAATTGGGAATAAATGTTTCACATGTAGTTAATATATGACGTGAAATGTTTCAATAAACTTAAATTAATTGCCCAGAGCACTGTTTTGGTGAAATGTTGATTACAGGGTGTTATTATTGCAGATGAGTTGCAATACCTCATTTAAACATGAGGTGGCAGTACGGCTTGACAACAAATTCATAGCATAAACTCTATTATATCATATTTTGCAAACTTGGGTTTACTTAACGGATCACGCACCCTGGTGTAAACTATCAGCCCACACAAAGTTCGGTTTCCCACAAAGACCTCACACACACAAAGCTGTTTTACTTAATGGCTCTGATATTGGGTAGGCCCAGTGGCGTATCAGCAGGCTTGGGAGGGTTACTTTAAAAATGTATTCCGATACAGTTACAAATTACTTCATAAAAAAGTATTCAGTAACGTAATCCAACTACCAGAATATGAAAGTAACTGATTACTTTTGGATAACTTCAAGGACATATATATATTATTTAGGCCTACGTATTAAGAATTTCACATCCCTGAAAGAGATATCAATTGGCCACAGTATGGTTTTACAGATTATTATGTATTATGTAGGCTACAAGGAAATAATAAAAACACAACATTTAAAAATTCTACACAATCTACATATTAGTTTGTTTTAAAATAGGAAACAATCTGTTGACTAATGCCGTGATTGGGCCGTTGGCAGTAGGTGTTCCCCTACATTAGCAGCAAGAGATTAAAAGCTACTACAGATTCCAGCATCGCTAGAAAATGCGATCATACAAACCACTGAATTTCAAAGCAGTAATAAACGCCACATAAGCTAACAACAAGGCACAGTTTGCACTGTAAAACCATGTTGTTGGAACTTTCCTCTTTAAAAACAAAATAGCAGCGGAATTTCCAAGAAATGAAAGCATTTTTACCTGTGAGCAGCGTCCGTGTCTGAGGAGATTGTTGTCGTCGAGAGCTCTTATCTTACGCAGTTACCAGCGGGTGGCACACGCGACTCGTGTCGCGAGTCATTAATATAGTGTTATTATACCAAAATACAGATTTACTTAGTTTTAAATGAAACCATTGTAATCGTGAAAGTATCCCCCCTTTTTCAAAAGTAACTATAATCTGATTACTACGTTTTTTGATGTAACTGCTTTATGCCCACTACTTCCTGAACTTCAGCCAGCTTCTTGTTTCCTGTCTGCCATTATTGGCCAAATTGATTAATTCAGGTGTGCTTGATCTCAGTAGTCATGGCAACAATAATCAGACACACCTGAATTAATCAATTTGGCCAATAATGGCAGACAGGAAACAAGGAGCTGGCTGAAGTTCAGGAAGTAGTGCAGCTGGGCATAAAGCCCATTACAGTTAGTTACTGGATTTTTGTATCCTGATTACATAACGCCGTTACACGTGTTCCATTACTCCCCAACCCTGTATATCAGCGTCACTGGATATTGGTAGGGACACATCCAGAGTCCCTACTAAATTCTACCCCCCTGTGTAGGCCTAACAAGTAGCCTAATCATGCAGATAGCCTTTTATAGCCTAATGTAACAATTAAAATCATGCCATGCTTCTCTTTACCTGTTTGATTGCATGTGCATCTGTGCCAGTCATTCACTAATGTTACACACTTTGGGTGGGAAATGTGATACAGTGTGCCTGGTAGATTTAAACAGCAGGGTCACCATCAGCTGCTGCCTTATAACTAACACCCCACAGTCACATTCCTGATCGATCTCCCACTGGGACACCCCTTGTGAGACATCCTGCTTTCACCAAATACTTGGATAATCATGCTGATTGTTCCCATTTTTAAAAAGACATTCACATATTTTAAGGAAACATACCATCACAGGACAGACTAAAATGCTGGTGCTTTTAATCAGGGTTTAGACGAGCACAAACAACAGAACTGAGATTCTCAGTGGCAAAGCACTTCAACTCACCAGCATGGCCAGATCAAACATTAACCATCAAGCATTTCACAGAAATTAAGACCTGTCAGTAATCTTTCACAAGGATTGTCCTTTAAACAGCAGCAACTCCCAGATCTTTTGGATGCTTAAAAGGAAAGTTCACTCAAAACGAAAATGCCATCATCATTTACTCCAAACCAGACTTTATCTCTTCATGGAACACAAAAGAGAAATGTTGAAGCTTAAAAAAACTCTTGCTTGAGACTCTTGCTTCAATTTGACTGGAAATGCCTTCTTGATCATTTCTTTTCTTCTTGATCAAAAGAAAAAGTCTAATGGGTTTGGAATAAAATGAGAATGAATAAACGTTTTTTGAGTGAACAAAATCATTGACAGCACAAAGTGACATCTCATTTAGCTTTTTAACTAAATATACATTTCAAGACTTCCGGTTATGTCGGGTTGCTGAACGGTCACGTTTTTCAACGCTCTCAGATAATCCTGTTTTTTAAACCCTTGTCTAGACCCAATAACCAAAAGAAACGTTTTGTTTGACGGTGGCTCTGAAAAACAGTCAGCATGTCTTCACGTCCGCAAAGGAAAAGAGATAAAAAAGATAATACAGATTCGGCGGTCGACGACCTAGGACCCACGGCTGAAACTGATAGCACACCGGTTGGCGCCAACATTCACGCTGAGGCTGATACTCCACCCGATAATAGCGTAATTCTTTCAGCTATAAACGGTTTGAAGGGCGAGTTTCGCTCCCAATACAAGGAGGTTCTGGCTGTGATTAAAGAAGTTAAAGAGGATTTCATCACCTTTACTGAAAGACTTACCGAAGCGGAGAGCCGAATCAGCCAAGCCGAG